AGCCATATTAATTAATAGTAAGTACCCTTTGACGTCTGTATTGGTATATCCAAATGAGGCACTCTGGGTCACCTGTGCATACGTTCCCATAGATAATTGGAACAATGTTGATTTTACTGCTGTGTTGCTGACAATTATCTGAAAGAGAAGTTGGGGTGCTTCATGGGGCTGGAAAAAGTTTAGCTAAATCAGAAAGAAGGTCTAATTAAGCAAGTTTATTCTATAGCTATAAAAGGCTAAGTTGACTCGAGCATGCACAATACATATAAAGCTCTCACTGGTGCCAATCACACGCGTGTGTTTCCATCTGTCATTGTCGATCATGAATTTGGTTGACGCTTCTATTATAGAGAAAGGGTGAATAGCGATATTAAAATATTTCTTCTACTTAATTTCCTTTCAATGTGCATGAATCTGTGCACCAGACCACTAGTTGTAAATAATGCTGCTGTGTTTTCTCTTAACATGAAGATACATTGAGACTTAGAGGAGTGGCTAGAAGGAGGACACCAAGCCTACAGGTTTCGTGACACACCCCAGACGCCTGATCAGTGGAGTACCATGTGGCCCATCAGCCCATTAAAGAAGGCTCCACCTTCCTGGCTGGGAAGACAGGTGCTTGCAGCCAAAACCTCCTGTAGGTGGGCCAATGGGAGTGCCACAGGTCCCCTCTGGCACACCTGATGGAAAACAGGCTGTAATTCCAGTCTGTTTCCCTAAAGGTTAGGTTCCAGGGTAAACAAGGTCCTTCAAATCCAAACAGCTCAGTCTGGACTTGCCTGGGATTCCCCAGCTCGACCAGAGCCTGGGCTCCATGGGCTCAGCACCAGCCCCTGGAAGCTTCCTCCACCGGGTGGTTCCACACGGCTGGGAGGAGTTGCTTCCCCTCCTGTAGTCACCACCCAGGGGCTTTGTGGAAATGTCAGGGGCATTCTGTTCTCATAATGACCCAGATGGGTGTGCTGCTCATGGTTAACATGTGGAGCCAGGACCCCTGCCTACTATGTGAGGCAGTTGCCCACAGCAGAATCGTCAGGCCTCCTGGATCACTTTCCAACATCTCATTAACATGTATCTCGAAGCAAAGAGCCTCAGTGTCATTATCTGAGCCCAAGACCTAATTATGTTTTACAAATGTACACAAAGTAATTTTGCATGGTTTTATATGCACCAGATTTTCCAGGAATGCAACTATGGAGTACATTGAGAAAGACTGCATTTTTAAATATTTGGAACTTTACTAGAGTTGTTCATCATTTTGTAAAATCCCAGCAATGACACTGGTAGTATTTTTGTTGCAAAAAAGTATATACAACTTTATCAGTTGCATTTGAATTGCCACATTCAGAGAGTCTACCTTTTAGGGGTAAGTATCCAATTCATTTCTTAGGTCTTCCTGCCCCAGCATTTACATATTGAAATATACCTTATACTCTTATAAACAGCTATTCTTTCATATCTTCATTATTTTACACTCAGGGCATTATAGTACTTTTATTTTTAAACATTATGTATGTTAGTCAATTATATTAGACCACAACTCATCATCCAAATATCATGGGGGCCAGATGTGTTTCAGAATTCAGTTTCCCAGATTTCATAAAAGTACATGGTACACTGTGGAGAGTGGCTACAGCGTTTGGACAGGTTCAAACCTCGGACTGACCAGAGGGCATGGTCCTCTTGTAGCAAAGCCACATACAAGTCCCAGCTTGGAGGGCAAAGCCCTCCCAGCACAATTATAGCCAAAGGCTATGATTGTAAGCGTGACCTTATAGTCTGACCCTGTAGTACTAGGTAGCTGAGGGATGTGGGCTGGGGGAGGTGCAGCAAGTGCTGCCAAAACAAAGCTTGATAGAGTTCTCAGGTGCATGTAATTAAGTATATTTGAAACTTGAAAGAACATTGTAAACATCTTGACCACACCCTTGTTTTGCTTTGAGTGATCTGACTATAAAATAAAGACTCTGCTTACAGGCTGTGTCACTGTTTCCTCATCCAGGTGCAGTGATCCACCTGGCCCCAACTATATTCTCTTGTCTGTTTTCTTTAATCCTTCACCACCCCTCCTCAAGTTCACCACTGGCTGTGCTGGATGTGGTTCAGTATACACAATACATTATATAACGCCTTAGTGGGGTCTAAACCAGCATCCTATACTCAAGCACACGAGTATTTCTGCAGCAAAACACAGACAAACACACAGAGTGGTACAGATAGTCTTTGCAGCTTCAGGTCCACTCGGGGCAGGTTTTGCTGGCAAATAGGTGTTGCTCCTAAACTTAAAACACACACACACACACACACACACACACCTGGATTATTCAAACTGTTTGGATTCTGGATAGGGGTCTTGGCCCTCTGTTGTCTGTGGCTCTCACTGGACAATAATGAGGGGCCCATGTAAGAAGGTGGTGCTGGATTGATAGGCTGAGAGCACAGCTCCACCCACCAGCTCCCAGTCTGTCTGTCCCTGCCCCCACCTCCCCAATCCCATGGGGTCCTCAAGGTCTCCCTTCCCAAAGCCCATCTAGGTTCAAGTGGATGTGTCCTGGTTATTCTCTTTCCTGGCTGCCGACCCATGGACCTTCACTTGTCAGGAGACCACGATCACGTCTGATGCCCCAGGTAACTGGCCCCACGTGATTGCTGCTCCCAGCTGGGCAGGTATCGCTGTGAGCTGCCACCAGGACCTCCCAGGCCCCTCCCTTCACTCTCCTACCTGCATTTTCTCCCCTTAAAATGCCGCTCGTCTCCTCCTTGTCCTCTACTTGAAGAGTTCCTTCTTCAAGCCCCAGGTTAAATGTCACCTACTTACGGGACTCCCCCAATGCTTCTGAACAGCATTTGTCTCTCTCTCAGGTGAGATCCTGCAACTCTTGGTGTGTTCATTCCAGAAATATATATAGATATTTTGTTGTTGTTGAGTGCCTGCTATGAGCCAGGCACTGGTCCAGGCTAAAGAACATGGATTTCATGGGATAATACCTCCAAAGCCCTACTTAGGGCGTAGGTCACTTATCAGCCCTCTGATCTTCCAAGGAGCCAGTCCCCCCAGCTCCGCTCCCAGGAACAGTTGTTTCCACAGAGACAGGAACTCATGTTTGTAGGGCAGCGACTACATGTGCCAAACACTCCAAGTTCCATTCTCTTCCAAAAGGGAATACTGGCTGTGCCCAAAGACAAAGGCCCAGGATGAATGTGTTGCATCTTTCTAGAATGTTAATTTCAATCTAGAGTTGGGATGGAAAGTTAATTAGTGTAAGATAAGTAATTTAAAACATTATTTTTACATTAAATCAATCGTGGATATATTATGAAGCAGAATGCTAAAGTAACACACATTTTTCTTAATTTAATTTATTATTTGAAGATGTAATACATGTTCCTGGGAGAAAAATCATTCTATATAATAAAAGCCTAATATGCTGTGTCAGACTGTTCACTATGATGTGCAATGACCACCAGTGGGCAGACACTCAGACCAGTAGGTTAGCTTGCTGCTGGGATCCGGCCAATTGGGACTGGGCGAGATGGGCCAGACACGCCCTGGAGCCCTCCCGCAGCCCCTCCCTGGCCAGCCAGCCTCCCATGGTCCCTCCCCGGCTGGCTGGCCCTGATTTCCCCTGATCAGCCCTAATCAGGACTGAGACAGGACAGACATGCCCTGGAGCCCTCCTGTGGTCCCTTCCTGGCCCCGATGGTGCACCAGTGGGGTCCCTCAGCCTGACCTGCACCTTCTCACAATCTGGGATCCCTCGGAGGATGTTGAAGAGCTGGTTTTGGCCTGATCCCCACAGACCAGGCTAAGGGACCCCACTGCTGCATGAATCCGTGCACTGGGCCTCTAGTAAGGTATAAAAGAGTTAAGAATAAAAATTGACATCTCTGTTCTCCAACTACACAGCTTCACTCCCAGGAGGCAACTGCTCTTCCTGAGTTCTTAGGAATCATCCCACAGACCATCTATATGTAGTACAATAAATAGCTATGCATGTGAGTTGCTTTTTTTTTTTAAGTAAAAATGATAGCATAAAATACACACTGCTTTTCAGCTTGCTTTATTCCAGATAAACACTACATCTTGGAAGTCTTTTCATAACACATTCATAGAATTATTTCATTCTTTTAACAACTGCACAATATTTCACGGTATGGATGAGCCAGAATTTGTCCACTGGCCCAATTACTGCTATTCCCAATATTTTCCTATTACAAACAACACTAAGTAACTATAACCCCAAATTTTCCTCATTGTACACAGGTAGTGTACCTGTAGCAAAATTCCTAGAAGTGGGACCCAGGGTGTACTGTATGGTCCACTCTCTCGATCATCATGCCAGAGTATCTTGCCTCACCCCTTAGCCAACACACAGATAAGTGTTTTCAAACTCTCTGACCTCGGCCAATCTGATGAGTAAAAACTGGTATCTCATTAGAGTTTTTATTTGCTTTTCTTAACTATGAAGGAGGTTGAGTATGGTTTTTTTAAATGTTCAAGACCCATTTGTATTTCTTCTTCTGGGAACTGTTTCTTCATATCATTTTCCTATTTGATTGTTGGCTTTTTCCTTAACAGTTGGGATTTCTTTAGATATTAAGGAAAGGTACCTTTTTTAATATGAATTGTAAATATTGCCCTCTGGTATGTTTGTCTTTTGATTTATTTTCTCCTCCTCGCCATTTAGTCATTTTTAATTTTTTTTGGCAAATTTACCTTTGCTTTTATAGCTTCTGGGTTTTATGCCATATTGGAAAGGATGCTCCCCTATCTGAAGTGATTAAAAAACATTCTTTTATGAATTCATTTCACTGAAAATTTACTGTGCTCCAACTCTGTGCCCGGCACTGAACAAAACAACGAGTCCATGTTCTGAGTTCTTTGGCTCAGGTTTCTAGCACTTTCCTAAGTACTTTCATAGTTTCATTTTTTTTTTACACTTAAATGACTTAAATCTTAATTCCATCAGGAATTTAATCTGGTGTAAATGGTGAGGTATTTGCCTTCCCCCCCAAGTGACAACCCAGTTGTCTCAACATCATTGACTGAATAATGTCTCTTTTCCTTACTGACTTGATATGTCAATTTTATCATATGCTAAATTCCCATAGATCAAACAAAAACATTTTTTAATCCTCCCCTGAGGATGTTTTTTGCTGATTTGAGAGAGAGAGAGAGAAACATTGATCATTTGCTTCCCTTAGGGTCTGGGACCAGAGATTAAATCTGCAACCCAACCCAAAGCCTTTTGGTGTATAGGATGACATTCCTACCGACTGACCCAGAGCCATAGATCATACATTTTTAAGTTAAAAAGAAACCTGAAAGGGATGTCTTGCTTGAAGCTCCATCAACAGACCCCTCAGACTGTGAGTCCACTCTCTCCGATCTTTAGGAGCCCTTGGTGGGAAGACTGGGCATCAAATCTTTTAACCTGCTTTCATCTTCACAACAATAAATTCCAAGGCAGATTGTTATCTCCATTTTCTTTTAAATTAGAGGCCAAGTGCATGGGTTTGTGCACCGCTGGGGTATCTCAGCCTGGCCTGCGGGGATCAGGCTGAAACTAGCTCTCCGACATCCCCCAAGGGGTCCCGGATTGCGAGAGGGTGCAGGCCAGGCCGAGGGTCCCCACTGGTGCATGATCAGGGCCAGGAAGGGACCGAGGGAGGGCTCCAGGAAGTGTCCAGCCTGTCTTGCCCAGTCCCGATCGGGGCCGGCTGGCCAGGGAGGGACCATGGAAGGTTGGCCAGCCAGGGAGGGACCGCGGAAGGGCTCCAGGGCATGTCCGGCCCATCTCACCCAGTCCCAACTGGCCGGACCCCAGCAGCAAGCTAACCTACCAGTCGGAGCTTCTGCCCCCTGGTGGTCAGTGTGCATCATAGCAACTGGTCAAACAGTCGGACACTTAGCATATTAGGCTTTTATTATATAGGATATGTTTTTATTGATTTTAGAGAAAGAGGAAGGTAGAATGGGAGAAAGAGAGAAACATCAATTGGCTGCCTCCCGCTGAGCCCTAACTGGAGATCGAGCCTGCAACCTGGGCACATGCCCTGACCAGAAATTGAACCAGTGAGCTTTTGGTGCATGGTATGACGTTCAACCAATTGAGCCACACCAGGTATGGCTCTCCATTTTCCAAGTAAGGAAAATAGGCCTCATTAAGAAGTGCCCCACCAGGGTCAACCCTTTATTGTCTTATCTGCCCAGCACTTCCTTTCTTCTGGGAATTGCCCGCTCCACACACCCCACCCATCTGCTTCCAGAGGTGAACGAGTTAGCATGAGATCCCTCCAGGCTGACTGGTCCAGGACCTGCTCTGCACAAGCTTTGCCAATCATGGTCCATGTTAATTTGAAATAGAAACCTAGAGGGGCCAGTCTCTGTAAGTTACAAAGGTGGGAATCTGTCTGAGGCACATTTCTTGCCTCATGTACCAGAGAAGCAGAGGAACCTACCCAGCAGAGGGAGATGATGGAGCATGACCTGAGCACCGGAGAAGGTTAGTGGACAAGAAAGGGGGGTCCCCAAGGTTCACGGCCACAGTTCTCTGTGAGCTGCTGGGCGTCGGCTGTACTCCTGAAGCTGTGTTGGTTGAGACCCTCCTGTATCCTCAGAGTATATTCTCCTTGCGCTGCTTTGACTTGGATGTCTGTCACTTGCCATCAAAGAGGTCCTCGAAACGCTGGGATGGGCCCGGCCCGGGGATGGTTTGTTTCCGAAGCGACGTCACAACAGGGAGCCAGGATGCTCTTTCCCTCTGAATTGTGTCTCAAAGGGCAAATGGACTGTGTGAGTGTGGCCAGCCCAGGGTGCTCCTGAGCCCCTGTCCTCGGCCACTGCAGCTGTGCGCCCTGTGAGGTGACCGCAGTGGAGGGTTGTGCCATGGCAGACTCAGAGCCTTCTTCTCTTCTAGTCATAAGGATGCAGGACGTTGTGATTTAGAAAAGAGATCTTAGCCTTTTCACTGGGCCACTGTCTGGTGGTATAGGAACTCATGCCAAAATCCAGCCAGCATCTGACCCCTCCTCTGTTCTCCCCTCCCTGGGGTCCTGTTGGTTCTTTCAGAAGTTACAGCTGCCCGCCCCGCCTCCAAATGTCTCTCGCACTTGACCCTTTTTCCATTCTCAATGCCAATTCCAAGTTTCATTGCCTCAGGCCTGAACTGTTGTAATCGAGTCCTAATGCTATTGCCTGGCCTGAGATGCCCGATCTCACATGTGAACTGGAGTCCAAATTCAAACATCACCTTCTCTGAGGGACCTCTCAGACCCTAGGAGTAGGCCATCCTGCTGACCCAAACCACCACCCTCAGGGGTTACAGAAGGAACGATCCAGGGGTAGCACGGGATCGGGGCGTGTCACCATCTTACGTTCAGCCTCTGTCTCTTTACCTGTCAGACAGGATAAACAGCAAGACGGCGGTGAGAAGTCAAAGGATGTAGGTAGAAAAAGCCATTGCAGGGCTCCCAAATAAAAAGGAAACCCATTATTTCCATGCATTTAAAAATATTCTTTAAATTGTTGATTTTAAGCAATTTCTAAAGTGTTTAAATTTAAGCAATTTCTAAAATGACCACGCACTTATTTCTACTTAGATAAGCAAAAAGAAGCAAGTAGAAATCACCATAATCCTAGCAGCCATTGATTTAACCTTCTGATCTAGTTTCTGTTCTGTTTTATTTGGTTAGCATTGTTCCAAAAACCATTTTTCATGTCCTTAAGAAAGGTTGGTAAAGATATTTTTTTAAAAATAGTAGCATATTATCCAACTGACTAAGCCATAATTTACTTAGTTTTCCATTGCTCCACATTTAGGATTTCTTTTTTTCAAATTTTATTTTAAACAATGTTGCAATGAATATTTTTGTTCATCAATCTTTGGCCATGTTTCTCAATAGCCCTTTAGGATCATTACAGCAAGTACATTCTTGAGTGCTTTCAAGCACTTACTGCACTGAACCCTCCTAACAATGCTATAAGGCAGGTATTTTCACTCCCATTTCACAGATGACAAAACTGAAGCACAAATAAGTAAGTACCGTGCTAACCGACACACTCAAAGCCATGATAGTGGAGCCAAAATGTAACCTGGCCAGCCTGACTCCAAAGCTCATACTCTCAGTCATGGCCTTTTAGGGCTCTTGGTATTATTGCCACATGACTTTCCAGGAAGGTTGTTTCAGCCTCCACTCCACCAGCAGCGTAAGAGTGTCCCTCACTCTTATTTCTCCTCCTTTCAAGCGATTGCCAGGCACATGCATTCCCCTTCCTTTGAGCTGTCTCAGTGTGTATCTCTCAGGGTAGGTTGCCATGGACCACCAATTAGTCCAGCTGAACTTCCCAGTGGTGGGCAAAATGGTGATGTGCCCCAAATGTGGCCACATTCACCCCATGCTGATGTGAGAATGGCCTGAACCAGCGGTTCTCAACCTGTGGGTCGCGACCCCTTCACAGGGGTCACCTAAGACCATCGGAAAACACATATATAATTACATATTGTTTTTGTGATTAATCACTATGCTTTAATTATGTTCAATTTGTAACAATGAAATTGGGGTCACCACAACATGAGGAACTGTATTAAAGGGTCGCGGCATTAGGAAGGTTGAGAACCACTCTATAGTGCCAAACACTATAAAACAATGCTTTTTATACTGGAGACCGAGCCCTCTAGGTCAGCCTACTAGTGCAGAGTCTAACGGCACCTTCATCTGAAGTCTATGCATGCAGCGGGGGCCAACATGGGGCCCCCAGAGCTCAAAACCACAGCCTCTTGTTTTCCACTGTCAGATGGCTTCTGTTAGGAGTGATATCCAGTCACACCTAAACTAATTTCAGTCTTCACAGTCTGCTGTTTGTTTGTTTTTAAGAGTCAGCCATTACTTGCAGGTTCTTTTTCTTTCTTTTTAAAATTAACACTTATATATGTCCATCAAAAGATTTCATGCATGCAAAAAAAAGTTTTCAGAATGGGTGCTTGGAAGGGGCAATATCAAAGTAATTGGAAATAAAAACCTTGGTTGATCAAAAGGAATTACATTTTAAGGTCTAGTCTCCTAGGCCTGCAATCCAGGAGGAATTTGTAGAATTTTCTCTCCCGGAAGTGGGCCCTCCTTCCCTTTTTTATTGCCCAGGTCAGCTCTTCCCCTCAGGCCTTACCTCCGATAAAGAGCTCCCTTTTTTCACATTTTGATAACATTTATAGATTGCTCACTTAATCCGAGTCAGCCTTGCATTTTTATTTAAATGTGACCCGAGCTTCTGTTTGCCACTATTTTCACTGTCCAGGGCACCAGGGCTAAAGGTCACTCTTCTTTTTATCCCTTTTGTGGCAAGGTGGCGATGTGCCATGGAAGTTGCCCAGAGTTGATCAGTAACTAGGTGAAAAATAAATAAATTTGGAATAATTCATAAAGTAAGTAGATTAGGATGGTTTAAATAACAACATACATTTTTTAAAAAGTACTTTGAGGCTTTTAAATGCCTCTCGTTCAGTCTCATTTGTACCTCAGAATAACCCACAGAGGAAACTGGTGTGGAGAGGTTAAGAGATTTTTTTTGACACCCAAATCCTCTCGCTCTAATGCTTCTATTATTTCCATTATAGTTGATGCTGAAACCTATATATATAAAAGGCTAATATGCTAAGTGTCAGTCCAGGTAATGACATCAAGTAGCAACGCATGGCTTCCTCTCCCTAGTGACGACTAGCCTCCTTGCAGTTTCTTCAGCCCAGGGACACGACTAGCTTTATAGCCAGGTAAAAACATTTTCACTTTAATCAAATGTCTATGAAGCATTTTCCCGTGCCTCTTCTTGTTTAATCCTCACAGAAGTCCTGGAATAGGTAGATAGGAGACTCAGTGGAATCCTATTTTCTTTTCATTAGCCAGAAAACAGAGATTTATAAAGCTTAGAGACTTGACCTGACTGAAAAGAAGTAAGAAATGGTAGACCTTGAAAATGACTTCAGGTTTTCTCACTGCGCAGAATATAGTCAAACACTGCTGCAGTTAAATATTTTATCCTTTGTTTTCCCTGTGTGATCTACAATAATAATCTGCTTTGTGTTGATATTTACTGCTGTGTTACTGACAATTACCTGAAAGAGAAGTTGGGGTGCTTCACGGGGCTGGAAAAAGTTTAGCTACATCAGAAAGCAGGTCTAGTTAAGCAAGTTTATTCTATATATATAAAAGGCTAAGTTGACTCGCGCATGCGCGATACATATAAAGCTCTCTCTGGGGCCAATTGCACACGTGTGTTTCCATCTGTCATTGTTGATTGTGAATTTGGTTGACACTTCTATATAGAGAAAGGGCGAATAGCAATATTAAAATATTTCTTCTAATTAATTTCCTGTCAATGTGCACAAATTCATGCAGTGGGCCACTACTACAAATATAAGATTAAATCTGGAGTTGGCCTCCTCCCATAAAACATCCTCACTGGCAGAGAGTGCTAGAACATGTTTGGGTCTTACTGGCCCAATCACTTTAAGAACTAGGTTACCCTGGGGAAATTATTTAATTTTTCTGAGCCTCATCTGTAAACTATTGATGTAATGCACCCCATCTACAGGGTGGTCATGGGATTAGAAATATTCTGTGGCTGGCACACAGTAGGTGAACAGTAAATCATACCTGCAGTATCCCTATAAGAGGATCACATGAGCAGTGTGGAGGTAAAGTAGATATTGATTCTTATTTGATGATTGAATAAATATTTTAAATTAGTTTGCACATTTGGCATTTAAAATAGGCAGAGTTAGCCCTGGCCCGTTTGGCTCAGTGGATAGAGCGTTGGCCTGTGGACTGAAGGGTCCCAGGTTCGATTCCAGTCAAGGCCATGTGCCTTGGTTGTGGGCACATCCCCAATAGGGGGTGTGCAGGAGGCAGCTGATCAATGTTTCTCTCTCATCGATGTTTCTAACTCTCTATCCCTCTCCCTTACTCTCTGTAAAAAAAACAATAAAATATATTTTAAAAAATAGAAAGAGTTGTATCAAATGAGCAAAGAAATGAATATTTCTGAAAAAAATGTTAATGCCCAATGCTGGCAAAAGGATGGGAAATCAGATTGGAACTTTTTTAGGTGGAAAGCCTTCAACATGACGTGCCGCTTGCCCCAGAAATTATGTAACCTAAGAAACCAATACTGAGTGGCAGCAAGGTTTAGAAAAACAAAGGATGTCATCACCACTCTATAACAGCAAAAGTGGAAACAACCTAAATGTTTAATGTGTGGCACAGGTTTAATGATTTACTCTGTCAAATTGAACATCATGCAGTCATTCGAATTATGCTGTAGAAGAATATTCTACATGGAAAGATGATCACAGCACAGCAAGCTAAAAATCACAAGACACAAACAGCCTGCGTTTGCTTCTGGTTAAAAAACCACACAGGACATAGGGTAGGGGTGGAGGTGGGCTAAAAGTGGCTAATGGGGGGAAAGGGGGACATCTGTAATACTTTCAACAATAAAGACAAATTTTAAAAAACCCCACACAACACAAAAATCAAAAGTTTAACAGTTATTTTCATTGGAAATGAGATTGTAAGTGATGCCTTTTTTCTACTTTGCTTATCTTATTCTCTAAATGTTCTGCAATGAAAATTTATCACTGTCATAATTTAAAAAATAGGTTTTCTTTTACATGTGCCCAGTTGGTGCCATTCGTGAACATTGCCTGCCAGCACAACCAGGCCAGTGGTCATGGAAAGTAAGTTAATTGTAATAAAGCAGCTTGGAAGTTTCTAGGTAGTTAGTTAAACAAAGTAATTAAAATCCTAATGAAATTTCACACAGCTGGTCCTTAAGCTTTGGCTTAGCTGCTGTAAGGCTACTATAAATAGACACCAGGCTTCCCTCTTACAAAAAGCCTAAAAATGGCATAAAATAAAATATGAGCAATTGTTCCTGTACATGGCCACGTGCCATGTTTGTCCTGAGCAAATGTCACCTGAAACTCCCCCATATCTCGTCCTGCAGGCTGGCGGCACATCTCTGGACAGGGTGTATTTACTCTCCATTACTCAGCTTACTCCCCTGAACCAGGCATGGAGTGGAATTTCCATGCAGTTACCCATTAGCCCCAGGGCTAGAGTTAAACCTTTAGTTAAATTAATCCGTTGATCTCAAACACATTGCTTCTCCCTCAGAAACGTGTAGAGAGGTTTCTTAGATGTCGCAGAGCTCAACTGAGTGTGAAGATGCAAGTCACCTGAGGGAGACCTGCTCCCTCCACACAGCTCTGCCACCCCCTTCCCCACGTCCGCCCCCTCTTCCCCCCTCCCCCCCGCAGGGCAGGCACTTACTTGTTGGGGTGGGGCTGGGGTATTGCACTCAAGGATTCTTCCCAGATCCAGAGCTGCAACTCTGGGCAGGAACCCATACTTAGAGAAGACAGGGAAGGTGCAAAATGGGTGTTATCAAATGAATGACAGAAAATACATACTGGTCTCAGTTTATATAAGAAGAGATCATAAGCCTCAAAAGGGGGAAGGTGTGGGAGGCCATCGTAGTCCGCCTCTGACTTCACAGAAAACGAAGCACATTTCAGGGCCAAAGTGAAAATTCAGGTTGGCCTTTGCTAAGAGATGAAAAGTGACAGCCCCCTCCAGTGGGCCGTGTCCGTCAGTCTGGCCACAGGAAGGATGTCCCCGCGCCCGGACTCAGGCGCCTCAGGCGTGTACTCCTCTCAGGGGCTGCATCCTCCGCCTGAGAGTGAACGAGGCTCAACCTCCATGGTTTTTAGCTACAGTTTCAAGGTGGGACAGTCCGTGTAAGGGGCTGTGGACCTGCCCCTGTAACTATTAATAACGACTTACTTCTCCGGGCCCAAGGGCAGCGCAGGGTCCAGTTGAAAAGTTCACGGGCCAAATCTAGACGCTGCTCCAAATAACTGTCCTGCAGACCCCCAACTCCCGGGGCCACCTCCTCAGGCCGCGACTGAGGGGTTCTGCTCGCACCCCCAATCCCCGGAATGCGCGCGCCCAGGAAGTGTCCTCGCTTCCTTCCCTGGTTCCCGCGAGTCCCGGGAACCACCGACTCTCTCCCTGGGAAGCGCGAACCTGGACCGCCCGGCGGATCCCCGCCCGCCACCCGCTCCACTTTCTCTTCCTCCTCCTCCTTCTCCTCCTCCTCCCGCGGCCTCGCCGCCCGCGGCTTTGTTTTCCTCCAGGTTCCGTGCCCACACGTGACACCGTTAGTGCAAAGAGCGCTCGGAGCGCGAGCGTGGGGCGCGCGCCCCTATAAATACGGACACCGGGCCCGCGGCCGGAGAG